AATGAAAAAATATTATTTTTTCTTTGCATCGATCATTTACTATTGATAATTTACCTTTTTTGTTTTTTTTTAGAATTTTTAGGAAGGAGCTATGTAATTAATTTGCAATATGATGGAATATATTATATGATTTTAATCAAAGAATTTGAGCTTTCAAGGAGCACTGGATCATAGGTATTTTGAAGTGTTATCAGATTCTAAACACAATCTGAGTAAGTAAATAATAAACTATATAGAATTTCATATATATTTTTTCTGTTATTAATCTGAATATATCTTTTCTAGGTAATAGTTAATAATGAGGCCATTCAATATCAGTTTGCAACAAGAATGAACTTAAAACAAATGGAATCAAACAAAATAAAAATAATAAAGCTAATGTTCTATATACTGATTAAGATACTAATTGATGAGGTTCAAACATAAGCAACATATATAGATTTAAGATTGAAAACATATTCTGGCATTATAATTACGCATATGTAGTTTTGTATATTAAAAATTGCAATACCTATTTATACTATAATTTTTGAATAAAATTATATCCGATTACTTTAACAGATAAAAATCATTTGTTCATATATGATATTGATAAAGATTAAAGTTATAGATAAAATTCAAGTAAAGATAAAACTTAATAAATACTATTTATTTATGGTGTTCAATGAATATAATTTGATTTATTAGTTATTTTTTCAATAAAAATACAATAAAACTTTTTTTGAGGGAATACAAAAAGAATTTCTAGCAGTTATATTGCAATTTTAATAGCTACTACCTATCATATACCAATGAATATTTGTTATAAAAAAACTTTATTATTTAATACACATTAGTTATATGAGTGTAACCTTTAAGATCACAGCACACAACTTATACTTTGTCAGGAATTTGAGATAAAAATAAAAATCTTTATATAACCTGCTTTATTTTTATCGCTTATTTTTATTTAACTATTTGAGAATTTTCATATTCACATTATTTATATATATCTTTTGCTACTTTTTGCATGTTATATTGTATAATGATAACGTTTAGACTACTTATATAAATTATTGATTTAATTGTATAACTATAGATCATCCTAATTGGTTAAATCTAATTTTTTAAACTTTAAAGAAAATTTTAATAAGACAATCTTTCTTTGGCTTCTAATTAAGTGTAGGGTAGATGTAGATCATTTTTAATAGTTTGTATATAGTTTTTATATAAAATCATGTGATTGCCAATCAGAATCGTAAAAACAACAAATTTGACCAATCAGTATTGATAATTTTTGTGCGACTTAAAGAAATTTAAGGTCACCTAAGTATTTTTACCAATATATGAAGTAGATTATTTTAAAAGATACAATATTCATAATTTTGCTATTATAAATAAGAGACACCAAATTATATTGAAAAAATTTGATATATATTAGTCACATTTCTAAAAAGTTTTAGCAAAGCTGAATTTTTGTTGTCTATGTAAAATTTTATTTACTAAGTAAATCATATGAAAAATGATCTACATCCACCCTATCCTTAAAGTTGTAGAGAAGATTTTCTAATTTTAATGATGTTTAGATCATCAAAATCAGCTTGGTGGATCCTAAGATATTTGTGTTTAAAGACACAAATATAAAAATATACAAATTGGTGGTTATACAAAGTATTATACTATATTCATATTTTTAATTTCAAATATCTTCAGATCTACTGGTTTGATTTTGATGATCTAAATATTATTAGAACCAAAAAGATAGCTCTACAACTTTAAAGTTAGAATTAATTAATAAAATTTTGAAAAAATTAAGATTTTATAGAATTTTATTAATAAAATTTTATAAACTTTTAAATTTCTCAAAATTTTATTAATTATTTCTAACTTCATGTATTAAAAAAAAATTTGTTTAACATGGGGTGTAGCGACTTAGTGAAGTGGTTGGATTGTCATCTTCCAAGTGGCACATTTAGAGTTCAATTTTCACCAATAGCGAAAAATTAAATTCTTTTGTATAATGGCAACTCTCTCATATATTGGGAAGAAGATCCTGTAATATTAGTTATGCCTTATATAGGAAGAATATCTATTGCACTATTGGGTCGATCTAAGGGAGATCTTGGACATTTGTATAATATATGAGTTGCATAAAGAGGATACAAAACCAGGACTAGTTTTATCGCACCATTTTTCAAATTTCTTTATTTAGGTGATCTACATAAATTAACTAATTGAATTAGGTGATCTACATAGATTAACCAATCAAATCATAAAATTTTTACAAAGCAAAAAAAAAAACAAAAAACAAAAATTACAAGAAATGAGAGTCTAAACCTCTTTTGGGATACTAATAAAAAATGTTAGGAGAGCTGTTTTATCTGTAAAACTTGTCTGATCCCTAACCTCTGAACAACTCTAACCCTAATTTTAATTACTTCTTTTTAACATTCTTCTAAATAAGGAAATTTGAAAAATGGTGCAGTAAAATTGGCCCAAAACCGATAAGATGGTGTAGACTTATAATAAGTTTTCAGATCATATTAATCTAATAAATGACACTATAGAAAGCCCGTTTAGCAAGCCCTGAGTAAAGAGGTAGCACAAGCTTTTAATAGTGCCTACTAGAATAGACTTCACCCAAGGCTGAAAAACTGGACAAAGCAAGAGTATTGGCAAGTTACTTTACCAACCAGACTACTGGGTTGACAGAAGAAAAGACTGGTACCTTTTCCAGACTATCTGAATTGATAGTCTGGAGAGACTAGCTAAGGGGTATTGAAAGAAAAGGTACTGAGTTGTTTTGAAGAAAGGGTACTAGAGCTTTGCAAGAGCCAGGTAGTTAGGCGGTGTAGCTTGCCCATAAAGGTTTAAAACCTATCTAGCTATCTATCTGCAGTAAAGATTGGTAATGTGGCTCAGAGTTGAGCAAAATATATATCCAATGATTTTTTATTAGACATTAAACATTTCCAAATTGTCCTATATAATTTCTAAAGTCCGATATGGCACAGCTTTAGTTGGAAGTAAGCATAATCCAGAAATGCTATATAGAACAATTAGGACAATTATCTATTATTTAATATATATCCAATAATAATTTATATTAATTATAGTTTAGTTACTAATAAAAATATTAAATAATCAGATTGGGTTCTTTCATAGCAAAACTATGTTTAGAATATATATATTTTATATACTCTAAGTATAAATTTGTTATAAAAAATCTAATTGTTCTTTAAACTAGTTTAAGTAAAATTATATAATTTCTTAATTTTAAATTCTAATTACTTTATTAGTTAACTAAATATTATAAATAAATATAATAAGCAATCACTTATAATTATCTATTTCTGAAGGCTAGTTTGGGCTAATTTTAAAGGCTGAAAAACAAATAACCATATGATCGATTAAAAGATTGATTCTAATTTAGTCTTTTTAAAACAAATTCATTTCTGTTTCTATTCTATCAGCACACCTTATACTAAAGATTGGTCAGACCAAAACTAATTTGATTCATTTTGAACTCTTTAATGTCTAAATTCTAATATGATCATATAGGTTTAAACTAGCTTTAAATTATTTAAAATAGCCATTAATTTTTTTTTGATATAATAAGTATAAACTTGGATTTACTTAATATGCTGTTATAAAAAACAAATGAAGATCAAAAAAAGCGATATATGTAATAAAAATACCCTGATCTATTGGATACTAGCGTTTTCACTATATACATATTAGAGATGCCGTAGAATCATCCTAATGAAGTTGAATGATAGTTGTCACATGGCTGTAACTTGCCGTAATTACAGTAAGTAACATAGTAAAGTTAAGACATTATAGCTATAACTTTACTTATTATTTATTATAGTTACAGTATGTGACAACTATTATTCAACTTCATTAGGATGATTCTATGGTATCACTAATACATATAGATCAGGGTATTTTTACTAATATCCCATGATCTTGATATAGTGGTCAGCATATTTTCAAAAAAAAATACTTAGGTTTTAAAATGCTCTGATTAGTTGACTTTCATTATCAGCCAAGTTATAAATTTTACCCATAATAGTATATGTTTATTCTAGTATTTATTTACCCATATTTAGTTTAATTCCTTTTATTAATGTATTATTCAAAAATAAAAATCACTCATGGCTTATATATTAAAGGGAACATATGAAAAGATGAATCGAGATTAAATTAATTCAAAGCCAAAAAAGACCTATATAAAAAGATAAAATGCTCTAAAGCTCCTTATATACATATCACTACTGATAATATGATCTAAAAGAAATGCATGTGATATTGCAATGGGCTAATCTAATAAAGTAAGATAATTAGATTCTAAGAAAGCAATAAAACTAAAATAAGTAAATCTTGAGCAGGCTGCATTTAACAATAAGAAAAAAAATCAAATCTATTCTCAAGATAGGCAAAATTCTGAACGAGGCTTTGTAATACTCGTGAAAAAGAGTCTTAGATGCCAATTCGAAGCCAATTCGAAGCCAATTTGAATCCAATTCAAATTTATAAAAGAAAAAAAAGAAGAAAATTAAAGACCTAATGGCTTATAAAATCAGATTGATAAAAGTGTTTTATTCATAGTTTTAAAAACTATAAAAGTAGCAAAATAACATATCTTTAATATTGATTCAATAAAGTTCTTTAATGCTCAAGTTCTCTAAAATCTTATTATTAAATCTCTATACAATATTGCATTTTGTCTGGTTAATTTTATATCATCTAAGTCATGCATCTTAAGTGCTTTCTTTTCAATATAAGATCGCTAGCAACAGATTTGTTGTTAATACTAACTTTAAAATCAAATACTAGATAATGTAGTGATTATTATACTTTTGCCTAACTCTTAATTAAATTTATTCAATACTTTAATTATAGTAGATATTATGCAATGTAAAAGAGGAAAGCCATCACATTCACTTACCGAATACTTTTATATTCTACCCAATGAGTGGGCAAATAAAAGTAATCAAAAATGTATCTGTTATATCTGCATGGATGCAGTAGAAAAAGAAATCACTTTACAAGATAATAGTATAAAACTTATAAACACCAAATATTATTGTTATAATCATCTTAAGGATTGCCCTTATTTTGCAGCAAAGTATCCATCTGAACAAATAAAAAATATACTTAGCTCAGTTGTGCCTTCAACATCAAAAAACCAAGCAATAATGTCTTTTACAGATGATGATGACGATAACAATGAAAATGATTCATTAACCTGCTCCTCTACTTCATTATTAGTTTCAAAAAAACAGGCAACATTACCTTAATATATTGGCCGTCCACTTAACACATCTGAAGTTTCTAAATTTGAACATCTTTTACTTCAGGCTACAATTTTAGCTAGATTCGCATTTCACTGAGTTGAAAACCCTGAATTTAAAGCATTATTTAGTTTTATTTTTCCACATCTAAAATTACCTGACCAAAAAATGCTTAGTAATTATATTTTAATAAGTGCAACAAATGAAGTTCAAACAACAATTAAAGAGCTTGCCTGCCAGGATAAAATCGGAATCACAATTGCCTTTGATGGCTGGCGTAATGTTGTGAATCAAGAATTAATGGACATAGTTTTTATTACATCTTCAGGAGAAACTTTAATCTGGAGAGCAGATGATATTAATATTGAGAGACAACGGCAGGAAGAAGTAATTGCTCGAATTCATATGCTTTTTGAAGAGACAAAAGAATTAAATATTAGAGCTAACAGATTCAGCTAGATCATATGCTGCAGCTTGTTATTTTTTGAGATATGAAATGCGAAACAAGGTTTTTATTTCTTGTTTTGCATATTAAGTAAATTGTTGTGTTGGGGATATATTCAAAGAATCTGTAGAATTTAAAAATGCAAGCAAACGTGCACTTCGTATTATTAATTTTTTTTCATCATTCAGTATATTTTACTGCTAAACTTCATGATGAACAAATGAATGTTTTAAAAAAATATATAAATTTGATTACACCAAATATAACAAGATGGAATAGTTATTTTAAATGCTTCGATAGCATTCTTAAAAATAAGCATCCATTAAAAGTAAGTTGTTTATTACAATTTCAAACTAAAAATTTTAAAATTGTAATATATTCTTTCTTTTAGACTTTTGTAATCAAAGATGACATGACTTCAGATGATGAATTAAAGCTTCTGGCCAATGTTAAAGCTGCTATTAATCGTGATTCTTTTTGGAACTCTCTTGTAATATTACATGATATGCTTTATCCTTTTTGTAAAGCACTTGATATTATGCAACACAATAAAGCTCGTCTTTATAATGTTTTACATACCTTTGATTATTTTATACAAATATTCAAGGAGCTTGAAGTATCATCATTTTAAAAAAAGATAATTACAAGACTTGAAAAGAGGTAGGCTGTGTGGGAGCAACTATTACTTCTCCTTTCATTTGTTCTTCATCCTTTGTACCAACTTAATTATTTTAATCAATCACAATTATATATTAATTATACTTATATAGGAGCGTGATTATTATATTATTACAATACTTGGTTTGAAGATGATCCAAAGCACTTACTTCATGAACTCAAACTTTATAAACAGCAAAAGTATCCTTTTATTGAAAAAACCTTTAGACAATTTAAAGAAGACATTCTTCTTTGGTGGTCACATAATTCTGGCACAGCACCTGAATTGAGTCGTATTGCATGTCAATTATTTGGCATATGTATTATGACTGCCTCTGTAGAATGACTTTTTTCTACTATGGGCTTTTTGCATTCTCTATTATGGAATAAACTAAAAGTAAGTTCTATTTGGAATATAAAATTTTATTATATTAACTTTGTTTAATTATAGGATGAGAAAGTGGTTGTAATGAGTCAACTTCGTGCTAAAATTTTACAAATTCATAAAAAAAAATTAAAATCTAAATATATTCAATCAAACCATACTTCCTCTACTTTCTCCTCCTCTACTTCTACTTCCTCTACTTCCATTTCCTCTATTTTATCTTCCTCTACTTCAACTACTATCTCTGTTTCTTTATCATTATCCAGCCAAGACCAAGCACCTGAGAGAACTAATGCATATGAGAATATTATTTCAGAAGGTAATTGGGATATTGTACTTAATGAATAGGAAGAATTACTAATTGATGAAGAGCTAAAAGAAAAACAGGACAACCTTGATGACACTAATATAGATTTTCTTGATTCAGAAATTCATCTCGCTGAAAATTAAGCTGCTAAATAGAAATTGCATAAATTGTTTTTACCTAATTTACCTTTCATATTTAATATTTGAATTTATCAGCAAATCGTGAGATTACAATATTCAATATAATGAATCTTAAAGCTATTATATGTAAATTGATGAAGTTATTTAGAATATTTTTATATGCTTTTGTTAAATAAAATTCTTGTTTTTATGACAAATTAAACTAATTAATAAATAAATATTCTACATATCTATTGAATAAGTAATTATTTTGGTCAATCTCTCTTTTTTCATAACAGAAAAATTTGTATATCATGCATAGAATTGTAAAGCTGCAGAGTATGTTGTGAAAGGGTAAATTATCACCCTGAGATTACTGCAGTTCTTGACGTAGCACAAATTCTGAAAATTCCAAGAATTTTAAGAATCCCAAAAAATTTACAGAATTCTTAATATTAGCATAATCGTTAGAATTCTTGAAATAGTTATTTATATTATGATAATTGCTATATATAATCATCTGTATTCCTAGTATAGAAGTAATAAGTAGAATAGTTGTTATCATTAGGATTGCTAGAATTATTGGTATTATGTTACATATGTAAAGAAAAAATATATATCGGAAGACTTTTCCTTGAAATAAAGATAACTCAGTGGAGTTCTAAAACTCAGTTTGGAGTTCAATTTAAAACCACATAACTTTTGAAGTTCGAAGTTTTGAAGTGTATAGTAAAAGTCATAGTCTCTAATAAGTTCTTAAAATCATTTGTTGTTCCATTCTCGTAATATACCCGTTTGCTATTGCCCGAAATTTCATACTTCATATTTTTCGTATTGAGTAATCAAAAAGATAAAGTATAGATTAGTAATCAAATTCTTATATAATAAATGTTACTGATTAAATCAGTGATTGATATAATACATAATTCAATTACATCGATTTCAGCATTTTTGGATGCTAAAATAAATCATGTGATCCAGCAACTAACTTTGATTAGCTAAATTTGATCGTAAGATCCAACTGTAGTATCTACAAAAAGAAGAAAGAAGGTAAAACCTCGTGTGAAAGTGCTAAAGAAAACAAATTGCTTAGCAAGAAAGTTATAGAGCACTTATCCAAGCTCAATACTATTACTAGAAATTCAATTAACCCTAATTACTCAGATCAAATCTCTCCACGCCTTAATCAAAGCCTATACCAAGCAAATAAAAATAATTTGGACGATGTAATATCTAATATCATATAGCTAATAGAATATGTATATATATATATATATATACCAGATATATACTTGATACCAGATATGCGTATAATTAAGAGTGTAAAAATTCATATTTTTTTTTATTTTATATCTTCAATCATAAGTATAGAATATTATACAATTTGATGATGATAGTGTAAATAAAGTTGTTGTAGCCACTTTAGAAGATTTGGATAATACTTTCTTTGCTGAATATTCAGATTCTGAAGACAAAGAATTTAACTCTGTATTAGATAGTGAATCAATGTCTGATAATAATATTCCTTCGACTAAATTGAATGAATTCAATTTTATAGACGTTATTGACAATTTCATTGAAGATAAAATTTATGATAATTTAAAAATGAAAGTTAAACATTTTTTTAAAACAGGAAAGTGTTTGTATTGCTTCAAACAAACCTGTTTTGAGAAAATTAGCTATGAAAAATTTCTTGCACGTCAAGCTGTATTTGAAAGTTTAGAAAAGATATGCAAGATATGGCTATTAAGAAGCAACTTTAGCTTTTCAAAAAAATGAAGATACGAAAAGTTGCCAATGATAATTGAAAAATATTCAGTTTGAATATTGTTACAATAGTGATATTCAGGTATGTTTTGATACATATTTAAATCTTGTTGGAATTAGTTGGAAATATTTAAATAATATAAAAGAGCATTTGCAAAAACATAGTCTTGACGAACGTATACATGGTAATACTAGTAGAGCTCCAAAAAATATGAATTATATCAAGATTAATTATGATTTAGCAAGTGATATTTATATTTTTAAAAAACTATTCGAACATATATGGCATACCTTCGTCTAGACATTATTGTAATAAAATTACTATGCCAATTGTGTTTCTTCTGACAAGTTTTAGTTATGCTTCTATATACCAGGATTATATACAAACTTATAAAGATAAGTGTAGACAAGATGTTCGTATTTTAGCTAAATCAACCTTTACTAATATCTGAAAATCTTTGATGCCATCACTTCAATTTATATCTGCAAAAACTGATCTATATGAAACTTGTAAATTAATGAAAATGGATATTCAATATAATATACAATATGAAAAAAATTAGAGCTTACTTAAAATTATCTAGCCCATTTAAATCATGCACAATAAGAGTATAACTATTATAATACCAGCATTATAAATGCAATTGAAGATAGTAAATGAAATCTAAATATAACTAAATCTCAAATATTTTTTAAAAGCTTTAATAGTAGCACATATATTGCATATGATTGGGTCCAAAATATACAAGTACCCTATTTGCCACAACAAATTGGATCTTTGTATTTTAAAAGTTCACAAAAAGTACATTTATTTAATGTTTGCAATACCAGTAATTTTCTGAATATACAACAAACTAACTATATAATTGATGAAGCTGAAATGCCAAACAACAGTAAACAAGGTAAAGGTGTGAATTGCACTCTAAGTTTAGTTTGGTATGCAATTTGAAAATATAACTGTGGTGAAAAAAAATTAATAATTACATGTGATAACTGTATAGGTTAGAATAAGAATAACTATTCATTATTTTTTTATTTATGGTTGATTGATCATAATATATATGATGAAATTGAATTAAATTTTATGATACCTGGCCATATGAAGTTTATTTGTGATGGATGTTTTAGTCTAATCAAGATTCTCTACTAAAAAAGCAAAGTAAATACTTTCAATGATGTGGTTTCAAACATTAATCGTTCAACTAGGATTAATTTTAACATTGCTCAACACTATTTTAATAGGGAAGGTTTCCAATATTATGATTTAAAAAGTTCTTTTAAACATTTAAAAAACTACCAAATATTCAAAAGTATCACTATTTTTATTTCAATTTACAATATCCTGGCATTATCTTCTATAAAGATGATCTTAAAGACAATTATAAAGAATTTACTATTTGTTCTTTCTCTTTCAATATATATACTTTACCTGCCATAATTGGTGTCAGACCACTTTCTTTAAAATGACAAAAGGAATTGCATAAAGAAATTGCACCTTATGTCGATTTACCTTTTTATGAGATTACTTGCTCCAAACCTTCAAAAAATTTAAAATAAAATAAACTAAAAATTTATTTATAACGATAACAATAGCTTTATTAGTTACATAAAATAAACTTGGTCTATTATAAAATCAGCGTAGAAAACAAATTCAGTTTATGTCAACCTAACATAATATGAGTTCAATCTATATTAGTCAACTTCAATCAATAAAAATTTAAATCTGAAATTGGCTTAATTTAACTTGTTCAAATTAAAAATTTGCAAGAAAAATTAAGTAGTTGGTAGTGAAAACTTTTTATGAAAAAGAATTAAAATAATGAGATAATAGCGCAGTAATAATGAGATAATAGTGCATTAATAATAAAGTAATAGTACAGTAATAACGATGAACAAAATTAATATAAAAATTAAAGAATTAGGATATATATTTATCAAAAAAATATAGTAAAGATTAATAAGTGAAGATGTGAAAATCAATAAGCTTTATATTTTTATTTTTTTTTATTATTTTTTTTTTATACTAGCCTCTTTGGCATAGGGGTTTTTATTCAAGTATAATGGGCGGGGAGCTCACAATGGAACCCCAATTACATTAGAGAGTACAACTAGCCACACGTGCGCCTTTTGAGCGTCTATTTAAATAGTCCGCGTATAGATAACTGTACACCATAGGTTCTATACTAGCTGCCATGCCTATAACCCAACTAGGTGTTAACTATTTAAACCCTCTGTAACGTACACTGCCCCTTGTATCACCGGAACACTCCGCTACATTCGTCAGTTAAGAGTTCCGGATGCGTGCTGTAGCCTTAGGACTAATTTATCCTTGAGGCATCGTTGTTAGAGCTTTCCGTACCCACAATCCGGCTAACCTAGGCTTTCGGTAACTTATGCCAAGTCCGAAAACGAGTACTTGCAAGCCGAAGCTGCTACCATTACCTACTACTGCCCTTGTAGAGTTCACCCAAACCCCAGCACCTACTTTACGGACCATCTACCATTTCACCAGTCCACAAACTCCCAATCCAGATAGCCCGAAAAGGCAGACTCCTTCCTTGGAATACACCAACGGCCTGATTGGTATGGTGCCTTGCCGAACACCTCGGTCCCATCTAGTTTCCGGATCTTTGGTGATAATCCTTTACATAGCGCCGTCAAAGATCTGTGCTACCTCTCTACTCAGGACTTGCCAAGTGGGATTCTGTATGCCCCAGCCCTTGGATTTACACAAACGCTTCACTCAGGTTTTGTGTAACTCTTGCATCACACTATAGTTCCACATTCTTCCAGTACAAGCTGGTACGACCAAAGCTACAGATCTGATAATCCATTAGATTACACACAGTTTACTGTAACATATTCCTTAAATTCAAATTTCGTCGCCAGTGGGATTCGAACTCCAGTCCTGCCGCTTGGGGTGCAACAACTTACCAACTTCACTAAGTCGCCACACCCTTAAGCTTTATATTTTTATATATTGTAAACAAAATAAATAAATTTACAAAAAAAAATTTCTTGAAAATTATATAATTATTACTATTATAAGAGCCAAAAGTTGAGAAATTGGTTCTGATTATATAACAATTTTAAATTTGATTTTTACAAAATCAGATAATCATTTCACTGCCCTTTTTTGAGATAAAAATCCCATATATACATTGCAATTAGTAATACAAACAGCTTGCTTAGCTTAGCTTATAGCTAATATAATTTTTTTGATATTACGATGAGATTTTGCTTATGATTTTATTTATTATTAATACTTCTATTATATATATTACTATATTTCTGTATTTATATATAT